TTGTCGATGTTCCTTTGCGTAGGGGTCTTGGCCGAAAGACTCGACCGTGAAGCGCTACCGAACACGGAGCGCCGTACGGCGCCCGCTTGCTTTTGTTTGCTTGGATTTGGGGGAGATTTGGCACCAGTGCGACTCTGCTTCCGCAGGTATGGTACTTTTTTCCTCGTAAAGACTCAACGCTTCGATGCACCTGGTATTCTTCATAATATGCGTCGGAGAGAGCTTTCCACGACAGCTCCGGACGGGCATCCAACCATGGAAGAAGGTTTTTCTCCTCCCATTCTGGCCAGCCGCAAGCGTTACGTGGGGACATGGTTATGCTTGGGTAGTTGGCAGAAGTGGTCAGAACAGGTGAAGAAAACTGCAGAAAGTGAACTTGAAGATGTAGGGTTGTTGAGTTTAAAAGATTGAAGTGTGGCAGATAAAATCGACTTCTGTGTGTTTATGAGATTTGACCCAAACAAGCCCTCATTTTTTGATGCAATGTGTTTCGTTGACAATCAACAACGTTGAACGCGGCCACAAGAGTCCGTTCTCGTTGAAAATTTCCCGTTGCTTCACCAATTGTTGAATTCTATTGTCTGATCCGCCGCTTAGTGAGTCATTGTTAAAAAATGTGCAGATTCAGCAATAGATATCTACGGGTAGAAAGTAGGAATGAAAATTGCGTGCACTTGCGGTCCTCTCCTCAATTGCGAGCAAGCAAACAGTCAATCCTGATCCCGCGATACAACATGCTATAAAACCCGAGCGCCTCCTATCACAGAAAACCAGAACTAGGACCACTCCTCACCCCAGCGTAACTCAGACCCAAGTATGAGCGGAATTCGGAAAGTCTCGCACACTCCTCGACGACACAACTTTCGAAGCCGATTGCAACGTGCATTGTCCTTGTCTTCTTCTGAGTCTGAGCATACTGGTAGTCCATCCCGATCCGCTACAGGCGATACCACAGAGGACGATTCATCCTTTCAGGAGGAACACGACTCTGTCGACCAGGACAATAGCACCTCGGCCGAGGAGGGTGAGCAAGAAGCTGTACGGGAGCGGAAGGCTGTGTTTGGACACCAAACGGACTTGGAACCACGCAGGCAGACTAAGCTTTCTGGCGATAGCAATTCGGTTGCTCTGGAATGCCTGACAGAGTAAGTACAATCCCGTCAAGGTCATAATTTACGATTGGCCTGCTAACAATATCCAGACTAGATAATCGAATGAGGTCAGCTGTTGTTCATCCCAAGTGAGAATTTAAAGCGCTAACTGTCTCAGCAGGTCTATTGAGGGCTCGTCGCATGACCAGGCTACCTGGAATGAAACCATTCGCAACGATCTGGCGGACATTTTTGGTCGATTGGCAATCGTCGAAAGTGAGATCCAGAAGGGGACCAAGCAGGGTTCAAACAAAGCTACAGAGGGCCAGAAGATCGGGCGATCCCTGCGTCGGCAGCAGTGATGACATTCAAGCTTGATTTACTTGGGTATCACATCATGTATATCAGAGCAAGATCAGTCGGTATTGGTCTTGAGGTATGACCACCAGTTCAACCAACAGAATATAAACTCACTCATCATTGACGCTGGATTGGACGGTCACTGGATAAGCCTTGATTGACTCAGTGCCCAGCTGATGCCATGGAGAGCGATGTATCATTTGTTGTTGCATTGGCGTCTTCGTGTTTTATCTATGCTTCCCTTAGCTGTGCAGACGGAAAACTATGACTGGTATATGAACTGTGCCAAGATGGCTCTCCTGAACTGACGGGCTATAGTCGCGAGCCACTATTTGTTGCCGAGTAGATTAAATCTTTGATTAGTTCCATCATTGCAGCTGATTTGTATTGCCTGGCCCACTATGCTTGTACTCGGTCTGTATAAGTGAGGAAACTCCCAAGAAAGCTAAACTACAGTAGTGCTCAAGAATCGCACACATGTAACAAATGATCAAAGATTGGTTGCGGCTATTGAAGTACGATCCTTGACGGTTGATACTCGCACAGCAGTGCCACATCTATCGACTTGCGATATCTCACTCAACGAGGAACTGCTATTTGTGTTGCATTGAATCAGAATACTACGGCAAGCTCTGGCTGAACGCTGAGAAGAAATAATGACTATAATGCGCAAGAGAAGCGCGGGTTTCTCCACGAAAACCATGGCACAGGTATTAGCAATATACGGATTGGACCATTAGAAATGCGTTTCCTTTGCATTCGAGGAGGGTTTTCCACGCTGAAGCAGTAAAGGGAGAAGGGGAATCACGCAGAGGCGGGAGGGAAGGGTCGAAGATCTCAAACTGAATAGAAGTGTTGGGACGCAGGGCTGGCCAGCTAGTTGATGGCGACAGGGTTTGACGTATACCAGGGCCGACCCCGGCGTGCTCCTAACTCACTGGTTTCACTTTGCAGCTTATCACGGAATGGTCGTTGCCGCACTTAGAGCACACGTGTCTTCGGTGACATGTTGGCCAGTGGCAGCCAGCAGAAGAGTTGAATTTTTCACAAATGGCAGTATCGTTATTTAGTGCAGCGGTAGAGCGCGTTTACCGTGTGTTTGGGGCAGCCGGCACCGTCTTTGCTGAGAGCACGTTGTCCGGGCGAAGGTAGGAGCTTTCGAGGGCTTTCCCAATTTCCCAATGACTAAGAGAAACGGTGAGGTCGCCTTTATCGACGACCATCTGGTGGTGGTCCAGGGCCATTTGCAGGATACAGTCCTGCCACTTATATGCCCTAGCAACGTCACAAATGCGGCGGTGGAGAGAACCATTCCACTGATGCATAACGGGTGCTTAGCAGCGAAGAAATCACACCAGACAGCGACGTAATTGCTAAAGCGATGGTTCTAGAGGAATGCGTCATTTCCTCAGTCCTTAATTGAGACTACCTTGCGGAATTGCAGGCCAGATGATGTGGATTTAAAGTCGAAATTCTTGCCATCCGGTGCCGAGGCTTTGAACTCATGGCTACGGAGTTTTCATGATTCCTTCTTTGGGCGGAATGTGTGCTCGAAAACAGCTATAATAGCAGCACGGTCGAGGCCGGGGAAACGGGGGAGGACTGGCAAAACAAGAGACGGGACCCTACCGTCGTCAGCATCCTCATCCACAGTGAGGTCTAAACGTGGGCGCTTGCGCTGCCCGTCGCCCGCAACAAGGGACGCGGACACAGTAGAGATGAATGAGTCCCGCTGGGAGTCGGAGAGGGAATTCCATATGTACTCTGGTGGATAGGTCGAGGAGCTCAGGGTGGTCTGTCCTCCAGGGGTTAGACGGGGGCCAGCAAAACTATGACGCACCATTGTAAATGATAGGTTCTATTTGGGACTGTTGCGTGAGAGCCCCTTGCGTCGGGCCCACGATATCCCGTGCTGGACATCGCACACAAATATCGCCTGGCCTTCCCCTCCCTCGAAAAGAACATCGCCGTTTCGAGGGAGAGCCGGGCTCTCTCCGCGACGGTTTCTTCCCGCCCACCGCGGAACCCCCTCATGTATATTCCACGTATGCTCCCGCATAGCTATTTTTCCTCCTAGAATATACGGAGTGCCACGGGCCCGCCTGCAGCCCTCACGGCGCTGTAGCCCTCCGTCAACGAGGCCTACATCGCCAGTGTTCAGACCGCAGGTGCCCCGTGCGGGCCAAAATATCTCATCCGTCTCCATTTGTGCCAGTGTAGCAATGGTTAGAATAGAAGAACTCTTGAAGAAACCGTCCGGAGTGGGCCCGGCTCTCCCTCGAAACGGCGATGTTCTTTTCGAGGGAGGGGAATGCCAGCCGATATTTGTGTGCGATGTCCAGCACGGGGTATCGTGGGCCCGACGCAAGGGGCTCTCACGCAACAGTCCCGAATAGAACCTATCATCTAAAACCGGAGCCACAACACCGAAGGTGTCTGGGGCGACTAGCTTAGCTAAGCATTGGAAGGGCCCGAGTAAAATATATGAGCAGTTACTGTACCCTATATATGCTTCAGGTCGAACGCGTCTTTCTGGTCATTATCAACTATTGAGAATTTCCATACACGATTAGTAAATTAGTAGCTATACTAGTCAATATTATGTCCGATGCTACTAATCTTGCTAAGCTCTATGATACTCTTATAATCGAGGACGCGGTGTAGAACGTGGAATTGGCAGAGTAGACACCGTACTAGGTAAGATATTTAAATCTATTATATATATTTTTCTGTTGTATTTTAGCTTAAGGAACGTCCTATTTAGCTTACTTTTGGTTAGGCGCCGTATTTAGCTAAGGCGTAAACTATCCTTGTGAATGGACCCCTTTCCGGAACTCTTGTGATATGAGCATGATAGTTGTACTGTTATGGAGTTCTTTGAGTCGTGACTCACTAGATACAGGTCTAATTCTAAGGCATAAGTAGTGAGTATCAGGGTGACACGACAGTACCAACAGTACAGGGGATCCAACAAGAACAACTGCATTCCGTATGATACCGTACCTGTTGTGCACCCTACCTCAGTGCCCCTCTAACATTCATGTTTCTCAGCATCGCTATTTGAGAACTGCTACAATCTCTGCGCAATATAGCACCGAGGCTCCATTCCTCGGGGCTACATATTTTTTGTGATATGCCTTCACATGCAAAGACAGTGCTTCATTATTCGTAAGCTGCACCTGGAGGCAGAACATGGATACATGGCACATGCACCAATCTATGTCTGTTTCCACAGGCCACCATAAAGGGTGGGGACGGAGCCCCAAGGAACAGTCGGCCTGAGACAGGTTCATGTACTGCGCTCGTCGTAGTTGGCAGGCTTCGTGCCTCCCTATCCTCACAACCTTGAACATCTCGTACTCCTGTTTTGTAGATGACGCCTCTATGCCACTCTTCTTTCAGATCATCATTACTGTCAAGGGTGAATCTTTGTCAGAAAACGACATGGAACGCTCGGATGAACATGTGGTGATCAGGTACAGTAGCAGCAAAAATGTTCCCTCAGTGTCAACGGACAGATTGTCAACTCCCGCAGATAATGGCACCTCGTCAACCTAAACGAGCGTCGTCTACCAGCCGGTGGACGGTAGCGGTGCGCCAGGCAGGGTACGCGACGTGAGTAAGGCCTGATGACACGTCACTTGTGATGTTATTTGGGAAGAAGGGGTTTTCGGTGGCGGCAAAATAACACTTGCCTGTATCAGTGCGACAATAGGAGATGCTTCTACTTATCTCCCTGTCGCAGGAAGGGTTGAACTTGGTGCTGCGGCCATTGCTGAACCGAAACCCTCCTTTGTCTCCATTGTCGTCAATGACGACAAGATTTTTCGGCGAGATGATCGTCTCACTAGCGATGGTTTTGACTTGGCCAGCTTGGTATCGTGACGTAGGTCGAGGTCGTACACACACATCAAGAGTCGAATTAGCCCCTACTTTAGTTACGTCTAGCAGTAGTTTTCCGGCCGATGCATCCAGCGGTGGCCGGTGATTGATTAGCCAGAAGCTCAGCCGGCGGCCCTTATCAATGACGTGGGCGTCGAGCCCATGCATATCCAGCTCCTGGATGTTGCCTTCGCTGTCGGGAAACCGTTAGTGGACCTAGGCAGGGTTCAAGAACAGAACACTCGGCAGGGGAACTCTTCCGGGTCTAGATATGACTAGGGAATAATAGCATGTATACGCGATCGGTAGAAAAGGTATATTAAACTATAACTAGAGAAAGTCAGATCAGAAGCTTATAATTATCTATTAAACCTTTTAGCCGGAAGGGATGTAAAAAAGGCTGGCTTTCTCCTTATTTAAGGTAGGCCGACTCGAATATCGCTCTGGGAACTATAGGAAAGATCCTTCGCCAGTGCCTACGGCTCCGCCATGGCAAGAATAGCCGATGATTAAAAGAAATTAAAAGGGCTAGTGCCTTGGACACGGATTAGAAGATATTCGTTCGCTATTATAAACAAATCAAAAGGATCTAACAGGAGATAAACTTAGTTGGCGGATAAGAAAGGTCGGAATAAACTCTTAATTTAACGGAATACAACTAACGAGTGGCCCTTTATAGAGCATCCTGGATATTGTAAAAACGAAAGAATTAGAGACCGAAGAAAGGATACGACAGTATGGGCTTGCTCCTATACGCAAAATTAATCTCATGATCATGTATTCCAGTCTCGACAACCCGACAGAGTACTGCTGTTCGAAGGATTCAATTGTAAAGCGGGAGAAAGGTTGTCGACAGGATATAAAAGAGAGCACCCTCTTTGCTCACGTGTTTTTGATAACTACACGAGCTTTCGTCCTTGTTTGTTCAAATCTTCTTCAACTTACAAGCTCTATCAGCTGGAATCAGCATGATGGCACCTATTAATGAAGCCAAGGATAAATTGCAAACTTCTTCTTCGGCTTGGGCTTGGGCTCACGAGTTTCAATGCAGACAGGTACCTCCTGGACTCCATGCTACATGTTCCCATCTAAAGCCATTTAATATAGATCATGATGCCGTGGCTTTGCTCTGCGGTGGCTTTTAGCACAGGGGTAATGCGCTATCATGATCCGATGCAGCTGTACTCCTAATAGAGCCGGGTTAATATAGAGAACATAACCTTAAATGCATAAGATATACTTACCTATTTTGACCTAAACCGCAATGTGATGAAATCACCCGCCTACATTCTACTAGAAAAGATCGATATCTGAAATTGACGTTAATTATAGGGGATTGATACAGACACCACCCTTTGGATGCTAACACCACCCCCTGCCTGGAAAGTCAGGCATCAACTTTTTTCTGCCGGCAGTATTTCCTGCCGGCACCATCAATTCGAGGTACTTCCATTTACTATGTAGCCCCTAGCAAATTTCAAGTCACCTTCGTACTCTACTACCATCGACCATGCCAACTGCATGGCGCTAGTCCCGAATAGGAAATAGATGCTGTTTTCAAAAACTCTGCAGAAATGAAGGAATCCAGCTATTCTGGGTCAAATTTCTTGATAAATTGCATGAGAATTGTGAAGGAATTGAGTAATTTGCAATGGATCAGCCATTTATGGAGCTCCCTGACGCTTCCTGAGGCGGTCGGGCCAGGAATCCTCGCGCTGGGCCGTACATGAAGCTATTCCCATGCTCGGCGAAGCAGGATTGCACGCTGGCGATGCCGTACGAGCTTCCTGGGCCGTAGATGAAGCTATTCCTACCTCGTTGTCTCCCTGCGATGCCTGTTGTCTCCCTCCACGTCCTCTGCCACGTCCTCGGCCGCGTCCACGGCCCCGTCCACCTTCCTGAGAAGCTTGTTGAGCTTCCTGGGCCGTAGATGAAGCTATTCCCACCCCGTTGTCTCCCTGCGATGCCTGTTGTCTCCCTCCACGTCCTCTGCCACGTCCTCTGCCACGTCCACCTTCCTGAGATAGCATGAGCTCGAAGCCGGAGGGGTCTCGCTGGGTGGAGGTGTCTTGGGTGCTTGCTTGGGTGCTTTCGCCGCCGCTGATGAAGTTCCTAGCGCCTCGGGGGCGCCCTCGCCGGCGCACTTGGAGAGGATCCTGGAGTAGGAGTAGCGGGTTAATAGGAGGTGCAAATACACTGTACAAATGCCAGTGTTGATGAAATAACTCAGGCTCAAAGCTCTTCTCCTCTTCTTCGTACTGTATGATGAGATGAATGCATGGGAACCCTGCCGTATTCTTCGAATTACAGCGGCAAAGTGAAGGAATCGGCGGCTTCTCATCGCTTGCTGGTCGATAGCGGTTGTAGACGTCTATTGTATGCTCTATCACCTTGGCCGAAATTCGTCCAACAACTAGCCTGAATAGCTGCTTCCAGCGAGTATCGGTAGACCTCCTAATCTTATTATTCTCGATCGTATCGGTGACCTTCTTGAATTGAAGCTTTACAGCATTCTCAAAGGTGCGGAGAACAACCAGTAGATCATTAGTCGAGACTTGAAGATCCTGCTTAAGTAGCCAGTGAGCTCCCTCGGTCCGAGAGGTCGAAATCTCGTTAAGATGAAGGTATTCGGAGGTGTATTCATGAAGGAAATACTCGGGGCAGTCGTCTAGCCATTCACTCTGTAGATACTCGAGTAGAGGCTCAAAAATCGGCTCTTTGTAGCATTCTTGAAGCTGTTTCCATCTCTCCTGTCTCTCTTCCGTAGTGACAGCGTAGACGACACGAATCCACCGCTTTAGCATTGTCTTCCACGCTTTATCGACCATTTCTCGAAGCTCTCGGTCTCTCTCTGCCTTCGTCCGACACTGCGAGGAAGCTGAGGAAGCTAAGGAAGCATTTGCTGAAGCTTCAGTCTCTTGCCGAGCTTTTGCGAGCTGCTCAGCGAGTAGCGGACGCGCTTTCTTCAAGATATTCATGTTGATATGCCATAGACAGATCATATGCTTTGTAGAAGGGAAGACCACCTTAATGGCATTCATTAGCGCTTCTTCCTTATCGGTAAGGATCGTCCGGGGTGGCTCAAGGGCAAGAGATTCGAATGCTTCAGCAAGACAGCTGAGTATCACTTCATAGCTATCCTGCTTCTCATCCTTCATGAAGGCGAAGCCGACGTAAAAGCTTGATCCAGTAGCAGCAAAGCCAATGATATCGAGCAAGGGAAGGCCGTATCTATTAGTTTTGTATGTAGAATCCATTGAAATAACCCATGAATTGGTCCTAAGCATCGCAATACTCGATTTATGCATACAAAATAAGGCAGTGACGTGATTCTCATCATCTACCTCATGCTTGAAGATCCATTCGCCATCGCGCGGAAGCTCTATCAAGAGAGCTTGAAGCGGCGTACGGCCAGCAAGGAATTCAATATGAAGCTTCCTCCGAAGGTTATAGACGTCTCGGGCTGTAAGACATGACTCCTCATCCTCCTTTCGAATGCTAGTGAGGATATGACGCGTAGAAAGGCCCTGTTGGAGTTGCTTTTTAATCACCGGCGCCTTTGTAGATAGCTCCTGCTTCCGTTGAGCGACATGGGTAGATGGAGGCGAAGGCTCATGGTTGTGCTCTTGCTTGTCGACCGTAAGCTTCCAACGACCGTCCTCTTGAAGCCGAAGCCGGAGTAAAAATGGGCAGTCAATAGCTATGGAGGTAGTCTGCCGCTTTCGCTTAGGGCCATAATTAGGCCGCGCTCGTAGAGTACGACCCCGGTCACAGCATAGCTTCACTATCTTTTTGACGCCTTTCTTAGCTATTGAGCGTAGTATTGAGACTGCATAGCCATGCTCGCGGGCGAAGGCATTGATCGCGGCGATTCCTTGCTCTGGCGTATCGTATTGCTCGAGAGGAGGTAGCGGGAGGATATGGAGGCTTGGTATCGCGTCATGGAGGCTTGGCACGGTGTTTTGGAGGCTTGGCATCGTCGGCGGGGACTCGGGAATAGCTTCAGGCTCAGAATCAGACGGCGAAACAGGCTGTGAGGAAGCCATTGTAAAAAGCAATGAAATGCGAGAGAAATGGGTGGAAACATGGGAGGTTTAAAGGTGTAAACAACAATTATTTTGGATTTCTTGTTGGGTACTACAGTAGTACAAGAGTTACTTCTTTTTACTAGCAATTTTCATAGTAATTGGAGGTACCTAAGGTGTGATATACATGCAGGGTAGTGGTAGCAATAAATAAAAGTTCGAGGATGAAAGCGGTGAGAAAAGCGGTCAGTTGATGCCTGACTTTCCAGGCAGGGGGTGGTGTTAAGCATCCAAAGGGTGGTGTCTGTATCAATCCCCTAATTATAATATATTTCAGAGTCACTTTGTTCCTGAAGACGTATTAAAAATGGAGGCATTACTAGGCTATTAATAAAGGCTTTGAAGATAGATGTCAGATCTTCAAATACGTGATATACCGCACAATAAATCAGCATATCAGCATATTCAACTTCTATGGCTTCACCGGTCTGCCAGCCGACTCCCCCATTCTTTCGGTGATGATGTCGAATGTTTCCCATTGGCTTCATTCCAGCTCCATGGCTCACTCTGCACAACAGTCTCTGAGACTACAGTGATATCCTTTGAAGAAGGCTCAGGCTCAGTAAGAATATGCTCATCACTTCCCCACGCAGAAATCTGCATATGCGACGGCGCTGCGGCATTGATTTTACTCTTCTTTGTGTCTCGATCACCGCGATTTGTCATAGTCTTCAAGCCTGAGAGTGGGTAAGACTGTCCAGATGGTTTGCCAGAGGAGCTAAAGAGTTGAGAAAGACCAATTTTTTTGAACCCTTTGCGAAGAAGTGGTTGAATGATGGGCAAATTAGAGACCACGATTGAAACGAATGTCTCGCGACAAGCCCATTTAGAGCCGGCCTCGGCGCCATCGGGGCCCGACTGCATGTGATTTGTCAGAAAGAATGTACTCGTAAAGGTTACCATTATAACGGGACTTACACTCATAATGGTAACGGCTCGAATAATTGACGCTGTGATGACGAATGCAGCACCGGATAAGAGGGCCATCAGAGGAACTTTGCGTTTCAAGCTGATATTGACTTTCCATAGCAGAGGTAGTGGAATTGAAAGCAAGTAGATGTCAGTGATGATGTTGAGTATCACCACGACGAGAACGTATACTGGGGAGTTTGTTGGTTGGCAAAACTCTGGCGTATTAAGTTAGACGTGAGACTCAAGCCTGTTAAAGACCGGGGTTACTCACTGCCGGGATTTGGGCTAATCTGCCAGAAAGCGTGGAAAGGCTGGCATGATAAAAGAAGAGACAACTGGGTTGCAATCCACGTCACGGCTAGGATACCATAGGCGATTCGGACATGGTTCCGAAGGCTTTGGAGGCCAGTTCTGCAATTTCATCAGCATTTCAATATTTTTTGGAATAAACGGGGGAGGTATGTGGAGCGCACGTTAATCGAGAATAAAAAACA